TATCTCCCCACCCCCAGTGCCCAGGTTCTCCCTCTAACCCAATCAGGGCTCGATGCCAGGACACTTGTCATTATCTCAGAGAAGATAAAAACGAAACAGAAAGGCCAGGGGTTTGAAGTGAGCAGCCATAGTCTGGGTGGTCACTAAAAAGGCGAGGGTTCGATTCTCAGCTCCATCTCCACTGCTGCACATCTCACAGAGAGAGTTTTTAAAATGGTTTTAAGACCCAGTAGTTTTAGCCACAGTTGGACATAGTTAGAATGATTCGTGACGTCCACTATTAGATCAGGTGGTGACATCATCAGGTCACATGACCACCTGAAATGTCTGCTCATTCTTTTATTATCTGTGGGGACAGAGCTGATCAGTTATTCCCTTATTTAAACTTAGATGAGGGAGCTGTGTGTGTGTGTGTGTGTGTGTGTGTGTGTGTACAGTGATAGATGTGTGTGAGGTTGCTAGTCTGTTATTTTGGCAGCTGGCACCCACAGGACACACACACACACACACACAGCATGCTACTCACTCAGCTGGCATATGTACGTGTGTGTGTGTGTGTGTGTGTGTGTCCTGTTAAACAGCTTCTCCAGTTTCAGGTTGGTTCAGTAAATCATCCACATTTGTTACACTTCACCATCTTCTTTGTTTGCATAAAAAACCAAACCCAGACCCGTCTCTACAGCCTTTGTTCCCACCTTTGTGTTCCTCTCTGAGGACGGTGTTCTGTGGGTTCTGTGCCTCTCCTCGTCCTTCTAAGTCACTGTCTAGTCTTTTGTAAATAACAGGTTCTTACCGCTTGTTCTCTTTGCAGCTTTTTTTAATCTAGAGAAAATCTTTCAGAACTTCTTGATATCATTCCTTTATAACATGTTTTATTTATTTCAGTTTTGCTCAAACCCTGAACAAATCCCTCCACTGCCAACATAAAGCCAAACAACCCATGTTACAAAGAAAGTACATTTAAAAATAAACCTTCGACGACATGTATTTTTAACATTTACCCAGAATTCCACTCGTGTAACACGTTATCAAGTAGTGGAGGTGTTTGTTCATGTGGTTTAAATGTGTTATATCTAATAAAAGTAGAACAAACAACATGGACCTTTCTTGTTCTCACCATGTTTAAGAACTGTCCTGACGCCCGAGAGCTCCGCCCACCGGATGCTCCACTCGGTCCGGTCCAGTGGGAGGGCCGAGCTGCATAACGAACCAGACGAACTCTGGTTCATTATTATCATTACGTCATCATTATATTAGCAACATTTCAATAACTTTAATATCGTCTGACTTCTGCGGTTTCCGGCTCCGGTCTCTTGGGACCATGAAGCCGCAGTTGTGGGTGTTACTTTTGTACGTTGGCTAGAGCCGGGCGGGCGGTGCCACCTGTTGCCAGCTGATATTACAGACGGATTAAGTAGAACGACACGATGGAAGACAGAGGCGGAGTTTCAGGTAAAAGGGTGTTAATACCTGCCGGGTTCTACCGCTGCTGCTCCCGGAAGAGACTCTGACACACCGGGCTGTCCGAGCTCCGGGATCAGGGGAGCGAGGCCGCAGACCAGACGGTGGGAGCCTTTCATTGGCAGGGCTTTTATTAAAGAGGCAGGAGAGACAAACACTGGGTCACGGACCACAGGTTGGTCACAGTTCCTGTATTATGTGTACATGTGCATATTGTGGTACAATTTTATAGATGAAACTCCTTGATTTAACAAAAAAAAAAAAAAAAAACTCAGATCAATTAAAGTCCACAGTGATTAAATATTTATTTAGAAAAAATAAATAAGACCAACAATAAGGTGAAAAGGAGAAAGAAACGATAAAATACATTTTAAAAAACACTTTCATTTACAGAAACATTATGTTGTTTTATTTAATCAACTTTGATGTGCAAAGACAAAACAGAATAAAAAAGGTAACTTTACTAAGATAATTAATAATAATAATTAGGAAAAGAATAGATATAAACTTAGGTTCAGACGAGCTGGAGGTTATCCTTTACTAGCATTAGCCAACAGCTTATTTAGGTTGGTTCAAATCTTCCAGTTAGCTCCAGCTAACCTCCTCTAATCATACACTAGATGCTAAATGAGCCAGAAGGTTCAGTCACGTACAGTACATCACTAACATATTTATAGATGAACTCCAACTTAATAATGAGAGGTCAAATGTCAACATCATCAACATCACATCACATCACATGATCACCTTTCAAAAAACAAACACAACAAAAGTAAAGACGAGGGAATAGAAAAAACCGAAGGTAACTTCAGGACATTTTTTAAGGACAACATTTTCTTCTGAACAAAAGTGCATTTGCAGGAATCTGTGTTGACTGATGTCACTGAGGTTATGGGGAGAAAACTGTTTGACTGTCCTCTTCACCAGCAGTGACAGAAACGGGTTTCTTTTTGCTGAAGTTAGTGGTAGAACGACCCTGGACTCTATATGACGGCGCTGTCTTTACTGGAGGATTTTGGACGAGCGCTGCGTGAACTGCTTCGTCCAATGGGTAGAAAGGGGCCGGTCTCAGCAGTGACCACGATGCTGGGGATTCGACCCAGAGAGCTCTTGGTGACATCTGTGTTCTGTCAGACAGGAAAAGAACATGGTTTTATGAGTGTCCATCGATAAACGTCTCATTTGATCTTTCAGTCTCTGACGGTCGTGTTCTCTGTAAGAAACACTTCTTTGTAGTGAGTTGAAACTATTTCTATTTAGGTTCTAGTGAAAAGAAAAAAGACTTTCTTTCCAGGTGTCAATCATGAATGTAGATGAATGTAACTGTACATGTTTGGTGGGTTTTGTGAACCTATCAGAGCGTACTCACAGGTGAGACATCATTGTCACAGGACGTCTGGAAAAAAATGAAACGTATTCAGGTTTAGGATTAAGTTTGAACTTCACAATATTCAACATCTGAAGTGGTCAATGACCAATCAGTCCACTATTGTCCTCTGAAGGACACCACAAAAACTCCATTTTTGAAAACACCCACTCTCTCAAAGCTAAATCGATTTCACACTCGGCACAAAAGGAACGGGGAAGTTGGAGTTTGTTGTTTGGTGATTTTGTTCTAATGGCGGAACAACCACAAAAACCAAAAACACATCTGTGAAATAACTGTGTTTCTACCCGTTCAAAGATTCCAGAGTCGTTGTTCTTCATCTTGGCCTTGAAGCTGGACGATGGTTTAAAGTCCACCAGTTCAGCCGTGTCCCTGCTGACGTCACAGGACACCTGACGACTGGCCGACCTGGAGCCCACGCTGGACAGATCTGCCTCGGTGTCGGTCAAACCCTGTGACAGACGTCAACACAAACGCTGCTGTGTGACTGCAGAGGACACCGCTCAGAAAACAGACTCAGAGACAAGTTTGGTACCGATTCACTGTCCGAGGCGGACGAGAGGCGAGACTGGCCGGCGGCGTGGCGTCTGTACTGGCTGCTCATCTCAGACGACTGACTGGTCACGGTGGAGCGCCGCGTCGAGACGAAACTGCTGCTGGACGAGCGGAGGTCGCGAGGATGGACGCAGAGCAGGACGCCAAGACAAGGGATGTACTTGGCTAACGCCACCCTGGACAGAACCATGAAGAGGACGTGAGGACAGAACCATGAAGAGAACGTGAGGACAGAACCATGAAGAGGACGTGAGGACAGAACCATGAAGAGAACGTGAGGACAGAACCATGAAGAGGACGTGAGGACAGAACCATGAAGAGGACGTGAGGACAGAACCATGAAGAGAACGTGAGGACAGAACCATGAAGAGGACGTGAGGACAGAACCATGAAGAGAACGTGAGGACAGAACCATGAAGAGGACGTGAGGACAGAACCATGAAGAGGACGTGAGGACAGAACCATGAAGAGGACGTGAGGACAGAACCATGAAGAGGACGTGAGGACAGAACCATGAAGAGGACGTGAGGACAGAACCATGAAGAGGACGTGAGGACAGAACCATGAAGAGGACGTGAGGACAGAACCATGAAGAGGACGTGAGGACAGAACCATGAAGAGGACGTGAGGACAGAACCATGAAGAGGACGTGAGGACAGAACCATGAAGAGGACGTGAGGACAGAACCATGAAGAGGACGTGAGGACAGAACCATGAAGAGGACGTGAGGACAGAACCATGAAGAGGACGTGAGGACAGAACCATGAAGAGGACGTGAGGACAGAACCATGAAGAGGACGTGAGGACAGAACCATGAAGAGGACGTGAGGACAGAACCATGAAGAGGACGTGAGGACAGAACCATGAAGAGGACGTGAGGACAGAACCATGAAGAGGACGTGAGGACAGAACCATGAAGAGGACGTGAGGACAGAACCATGAAGAGGACGTGAGGACAGAACCATGAAGAGGACGTGAGGACAGAACCATGAAGAGGACGTGAGGACAGAACCATGAAGAGGACGTGAGGACAGAACCATGAAGAGGACGTGAGGACAGAACCATGAAGAGGACGTGAGGACAGAACCATGAAGAGGACGTGAGGACAGAACCATGAAGAGGACGTGAGGACAGAACCATGAAGAGGACGTGAGGACAGAACCATGAAGAGGACGTGAGGACAGAACCATGAAGAGGACGTGAGGACAGAACCATGAAGAGGACGTGAGGACAGAACCATGAAGAGGACGTGAGGACAGAACCATGAAGAGGACGTGAGGACAGAACCATGAAGAGGACGTGAGGACAGAACCATGAAGAGGACGTGAGGACAGAACCATGAAGAGGACGTGAGGACAGAACCATGAAGAGGACGTGAGGACAGAACCATGAAGAGGACGTGAGGACAGAACCATGAAGAGGACGTGAGGACAGAACCATGAAGAGGACGTGAGGACAGAACCATGAAGAGGACGTGAGGACAGAACCATGAAGAGGACGTGAGGACAGAACCATGAAGAGGACGTGAGGACAGAACCATGAAGAGGACGTGAGGACAGAACCATGAAGAGGACGTGAGGACAGAACCATGAAGAGG